CAGTTTGTACAAATTTGGTAAGAGACATTCATTTTACAAAACAAAATCCAGCACAATAACAACTGCTCTGTGAAAATGGTTTTGCCATAATTGTTGTAAGAATTTAGTTCAACAATGATTATCTTGGAATGATGAATTATGAAATTGCCAAATGATAAAACTTGGTTCAGTATCATTATGATTGGACTGTGGAAAACTGTGCCCATGTTGTCTAGTCAGAGGTTAGATCTCCAGTATAGAGGAGACTGCATGAGGTTATAGATACAGCCTGTCAGCAGAGTGCTGCACAAGCTGGGGATGGCTATGTAATGTTGTGAAGTGTGTTTACAATGACCACTAGTGAAACTGGAGTTTACCGTGACAGGTTTGATATACATAGATTTTGTTGGATGCCATTTGAATTGAGTTTGCCACATCTTCCAGAGATGATGTTTTACATGTGTCTCTTATATGCCAGTAAATAAGGGATCTACAGCTTACATTGCAAATCTAACAAAATTGGTTAAAAGGCATTAATTTTACAAAGCATAATTGCTCTGTGAAAATGGTTTTGTCATAACTGTAAGTGCTTTGGTCAACAATGATTATCTTAGTGGATAATGATATTGTCAAATGATAAAACACAACCACATATGCCATCTCATGGAAATACTCTTGGGAGGCACAAAAGTATAAATCTTATGTCCTCTTTATGAAGTTGTGTCATTCAGACAGTAAAATGGGACAAGAGAAAATAAGGGTGACATATGCAAGCTTGCACAAAACACTAGTCCTCAAAGAGAAATAACAGTGATAAGGAGTCTGCTTGTGTCATTACACATGAAGATAACATTAAATATTAAATACAAGATGAACAAGAAGAGGGACTATGTTTTGGACACACAAAACATGAACGGCAAATCTATTAAAAAAAAAATCAGCTTTTTTATATTCCAATAATTCTAACAGTTTAGTATAATTTCAGTATTTAAACAAAAACTAAAATAGTAGAAACTGATTCTTGAATATTTCTTTACTAAAACGTTTTTTATACTAAAGTTTACCCAACATTGAGAGCCACACAAAGGAGAGGGTTAAAATGGTTATGCTGAATGTGGTGTGATATGACTGACAGAGGAGGTGATATGAAGTGGAGGTTCAGTAAAGAGTATAGATAACAACTGACCCTTGACTTGAAGAGGTTAAGTAAGACTAGTATTCAGGGAAGCATCCAAGCGGGAGTCAATACCACAGAAGTTCATGGAAAAAAAACTGTCTCAGTGGAATTTTCTCATGAGGGTGATTCAAATTCTGTGATGTAAATGCATTTGTTTTTTCATTTAAAATTAATGAAAGAAAGAAAAAAAGATCTGGATAATGAAACTAAAAAAAAATAAATAAATAAGTTCGCGATACCTAAAGATTTTTAGTTATGTTTTTTAAAAGTTTAATAAAACTGGATATTGATGATCGTACAAGATAATAAAGCTATTGGTAGTATAAATAAACTTGATATTCGCTATTGTTTACTTATACTTGTGTATTCGAAACAAAGAAAGACTAAGAACGTGTACGTGTGACTAGTTTCTCTTCTACTAAGATTTTCTAATTAGTATTTAAAGACATGAGGAGAAAAGTTCACTCGAGAAAATTCCCTAGAACTTTCAGGAGGAAAAAAAATAACACTCCTTTTTCTTTCTGTTCAATCATATCCGTTCTTATTCTTACTTAAAAAAAAAATTACCGGAGGCTTGGTTGATAAATAATAAATCCATTAGAAAAAAAATAAAAATAATTCTTTTTCTTAATAAGTGGTTGTTAGGAAGCCGTAGAATAATTGATTTTATTTTTAAAAGTTGTTTATCATTTTGTGAATGTGTCGTTTTTAAATCTAAACACAATTCCAAACAAAAAGGAGAAATTTATTATTTATTTAGAAAGTTTTAAAATTAGTCATAGTGAATTATTCAGCATTTTGAAACAAACATCCGATTTAACGTGGTTTCTTTCAGTTTTTATTTTACTTAAATAAAAAAAAAGAAGTGTCGCCAGTCATTCATTTGTAATTGAGACTTTTTAGAAACAGTTGTTTGCAGGTTACTTAGATTTTCTTTTACATTTTCTAAATACTTTTTTAAAACTTTTGACAGCCCTATCTTGCTCGATGTGACAAATAAAAGTGGTTCTTTTACAGACCAATTTTCAGAAGGTCGCTTTCCAAAAAGGCATCAGTGTTTAAAAATAAAATTCTGAGACTACAATTTTTTATTTTCATTCATTAATGCCACACGAGTTGTACATCAGTCAGTGTTTAAAATAAATAAATTTAAGTGCTGAGTGAGATCAATCATTTTTATGGTTTTCATTCATTAATGCCATTGGAGTTGTGGCATGTTTCATTGTCCCGATTAGAAATTAAATAAATTAGACCGTCAATCGGCTTGTGCCAAAGTGAGATCGTTTCTACCAGGCCTACCACATTTTTTACCTAACTGAGATTGTACTGACGATATGCTTATTATCAGTATTTTTTTGTCAGCTCTGAAATTTAAGGCTGTTGGATCATAGAAAAACTTTATTATACAAGAAAACTAAACCTAATAAAAATTGAAAACTATCCTGATTTTAAGATTTTAAATTCTAAGAAGCCTTTGAATTTCTATTGATTGCAAACAGCTTTGCGAGTTTTTTTCTATATAACTTAATTTTTTTCAATCGTCTGAATGATGACAATAACAATGTTTTATTTTATGGTTGAAAAAATATTTCAAACGAAGAACACTCACTTTTTAAAAACCTATTTATTTCTGTTTGCTATAACTTTAAATTTAGTGAATAGTAGACATTTTTTTGTCTTTGATTGATTTATTCCAACATTATTGAAAGCACTTCTTTGACGATACGAATTACTAGTTCACACACCATTTATTTTTTTATAACGAATTCCTTTTTAAAAACTGTCAGTTCCAATCTAACTATCTGTAATAATATTTTAAATAATGAATTGGTAAAAATGACGTCAGTTTGGTCCAGTTTTTATTTTTACCAACTTTGTTTAAATTTCCTCTCCCTTATCAGCTGCCATTTTACACGAAAAACAGCAAGTGTTAAAAAGGCGGTATTACACTTTTTAAACTAAAGTAAACGAGTTAAGCCACAATAAACTAAAAACACGATGCTGAGCGTGAAGTGAACTTTCTTTACATTTTTTTTAATTAATCAAGAAAAATTTGGATAACATTTTTTTCTGAATAGTTTTTAAAAATAATGATCCAATGAAGGCGCGACGAAAAGCTCTCAATACTTTTACTACGGAAGCCCATAAGTCCTGTAACTGTTCGCAATTTTTAAGAATTAGTTAACTAATATTTATGGTACAAAGTGAAACTTAAATAAAACTTAGTAATTGATACAGTTAATTTTTAAAAACTAGACCACGGTTCTATGTGACAACAGAAAAATAAGATTTTTTTTTTTAATTCAAATCGTTTTGGTGGTTAAAAAATACTACTAGGTTATTATTTTTTAATATTATGGCAAAAACAAAAAAGATTTCCTCTAAACAATACTTCTAATGAATAACGGGAACTCATTATGTACTTCATCCATGCGGTTACTTTCGTTTGAGCTGTTCAAAACAAATTAATTATTTCAAAATGTTATACTGCAATTTGTCCTCTAGCTGGACTTCCATATTATGAAAAATGGGTCACGTTACTCAGGTTGTTTAGGACTCACATCATAAAATAAGAGAGAACTTCGATTATTTTGGCTTTTTAAATTATCACATTTTTGTTCTTGTTTAAAATGTTCTAACCACACACAAAAGACCAGGCAATTAATACTCTAAGCTTTTTATAATTGTTAAAGAAATATGTGTTTCGACATGAATTTTTTTTAAACAAGAAAAAAAAATTAATATTTGAATTGAATAGGACTTTCTAGTAATTTCTAAAGTAAAGTAAAGATACAAGCTTAAAAAAAAAAAAAAACAAATATAAAACGAGACTTTATTTCAGTCATACAGCATGGAGACCACGTTATTTGCATTAAGTTGAGTAAAAAAAAAAAAAAAAGTTGTTGGTTACAATACACAACCAAAACAAATCATTTTATTACCGTATTTTGAAATATCGAATAAAATATTTTAAGACTTAATAGTTAAATAATGGAGAAGAAAAATAGTATAATTGTCAATCCCAATAAATACTTTAAATTTATAAAAATTAGCAAAGTTCCCCGAGACTGACATCGACATTTTTTCCTAACGTCAGTAAAACAAAGAAAGGAATCGCCGAATCAGGAACATGGGCGTGAGAGTTTTTAAAAGTCAAGAATCTTGACGCAAATACAACAATAATTATTAACAAAGTAGATGAAAAAAATAAAAGATTTTATAATCTAAATTAAGTTGGTTGGTGTCATGTGAAAAGGGATAAAAAAAAAAGTTACAAAAAAGTTTTGCGTAAGTAAGTCAATCGTTCAGTTATTAGTCGCAAGTGTTTTTAAAAAGATCTTTTTTAAAGCGTAATTTAAAACTTTATACAACATAAAAAAAATCCATATGTTTCTCCGTAAAGGGTTTTTGTTTTTGACTTACCAATTGATTATGGTTTTTAAAGTCGGTGTGTATTGACGATAAACAAGTAAACACTAACAACGAAAAGGCATTCTTTTCTTTAAAGTTCTATGAATTAATAAACACTTTCGTTATTTTCATGTCACTTTATAAAGTTTTATATATTGAATGCTAAATTTAAATAAGTTGTTATTAATTCTAAGAATTAACAAACGACTGAGTTACACGAGAATTTAAATGACTCAAGTTTTTATTTTTAAAAATGTTTTACAAGTTGAGAGCGCATTTATTTATACTACTACTAGTCATATGCAATTGAATTGGTTTTTAACTTAAATTAAATGCCCCAGACACACGCACTATCCAATAAGGAGATTGGATTATAAAAGATAAAGAAACATAAGAGAAAACTAGGAGAATGACACGACTACGAAAATGACATTCACACGAAGATTTCAACGTGGGAAAAGTCAAAAAAAAAAGAAGAGAGAGAGGGGGGGTGACGGAAGGACATGTTGAAAAGAGATGGAGGGTTGGATGAAAAAGAAAGAAAGAAAGAAAAAAATACAAACTTACGTCTGCATTTGAGGCATTGTTTGTAGACTCCCCAGATAAAGTCGCCGCATTTGTCGCACCAAGTCGGGTTAGAAAGTTGTTTCAAGATGAAATCGTGTCCGACTCCAAGCCGAAGCTCTCCTTGACTCAGCAGAGCCATTTCAATGTGTTCCTGCTGGACGACCACCGCGGCATCAGAAGGTGAAGTCGAAGAACTGCTGTTAGTCGCGGCTGCTTCTCCAGTACGATGATGAAGTTGTGCCTGATGATGATGGGCATTTGCACGACTGGGGTTGCTGCTGGTAGTGTCGTTATGATTCCTTTTCTTCTCATCCGTCGTCGTCAGAGCCGTGCTTTCTTTGTCTCCTCCTCCCGTGCCGGGGCCGCCGCCTCCTCCTGACCCTTCTCCGGTCCGACGCCTGTTGAAGGGTTGCGGGAACCCTATCCCTTGTAACATCGTGTCCAGATTGGCTTGGAATAAAACCCATTTTCTTTTCATCGCATCCATCATATCCGTAGTTGTATTGTTGTTGTTATTCATGTTGTTACTGGTCGTTGTAGTGGTCGTGGTGGTCGACGAACTAGTAGTACTATTCGGGTGCAAGCCGGACTGCTGACTGTTGTGGTGGTTGTTATTCGTGGCATCCGTCTCGTCAGGGGTAGTGGCACCCGTCGGACCGCCACAGTAACCCACCCCAACACCGTCCAGCGGAGTACCTTCCATCTTCTTAAAATAAAAGGGTTCCATAAACTCACGTGCCATGACTGCAACAATTGGGAAAGGTCTTAACTTGTAATTTTATATTTGTATCCTCTTTCGTTTTCAATGGAAGGAAACTTATTCGATAAGATAATAAATGTGTTGACTTATCATATGTTCTGGTCTGGCTGTGTCTAAGTACCGGTGATATCAGTATTTATTTGTTTATATGTTTTATGTCGGTCCTTACGATTAAGGGGTATGGTGTCATGAAAATATTTTATTATACAGTAAAAAACTAAACCAATAATAAAAAATTGTAAACTTTAAAAATCTTTCGGGTTGAGGCTTGGAAATTAGGTAAGAAGCCTATGTACCAAAAGTTTAAGTAGAATTGAAGCCTATGGATGGAAACTCTAAAAATCTTTCATCCAAGATTCTGATATACGAAAATCCTACAAACACGCTTTTCTTTTATGCATTAAAAATAGAAGTAAAAATAAATTAAATGAATTCGTTTTTAATATTAATTCGAAAGATCCCAAGTGTTTTAAAAAAACGAAGATGTTAATTGTTAAACTCCTTGTCGTCTGTAATCCACCGCTCCGTTGGTCTGGAATAGTTCAGTCTGTGTAATTTTCACTGCTTACAATAATAATAATGGTAACACTTAAGTACAGTGAGTGTTTTGTCTTTTTCCAATAAGTACTCAAAATCGGTGGTTTACACACACCCAATTCGTTTTATGTTCATCCAGTGTTTTTTGGCTCGAATAAGTGTCGGTCTTCCTAATTCTCAGAGTTTGGGATTTCAGCCAGTTGTTCTTGTCAGCGTTTTAGTACTTGTTATCCATTTTGACCTGAAATATATTAAAACCGGAAAAATAATAGAAATGAAAATGTGTAAGATTAAGAATGTTTATTTAGTAAAATTACTTTCTAGAAAATAAATAGCATTTTTTTGTGTGTGTTTTTTTTATTACTTTGACTACTTTTTGGCATTTTTAGACTAGTATAGCTCGATACCTATTGCTTCGATGACGGAAAAATCATGACATTTCAAATCGAAACTGTTCATTTAAATTACTGCATTTACTATATTCAGTTTAAAATTTAAATATTGAAGAGATCATAAAAATAGCTTCAAAATATCGAACATTTCAGCTTAACCCCATTTTCCAATTACCCACAGAAATTAATTTCAAATTGCGTACGTTTTTGTGTGCGCATGTGTATGACGGATCATAAACTAATTCTACAAAATTAAAATAAACTTTAAAAATAATTCAATTTCGATTAATTTCCGAAAAGTTCGATGAAATCTTACGTAGGTACTGGTGTGTGAGATGGCTGGAAAAATGAGTATAAAAAACGGCCTTAAACTTGACGAAATTTGTTATTGTCTGTTTATGTTGTTATAAAGAGGAAAGCAAAGTATTTTTTGATTATTTTTTTACATTTTTTAAACATTCCTAGAACGTCCAAGATTGTCGTTTAAAATCAAGTTTTTTTTAGTTCGGAAAAATCGATCGTCAGTCATTTTTTTCAATTTTGTAAACAAAAGTTAATTTTTCCGTTTAAAATTCTGTCAAAAATCAATTATACTTTTCTTAAGTTATATTTGATTTTTTTAGGGTTTTATTTTAAATTTATTTCCTTGTGCCCAACTTTATGATTTTATTTTTAATTGCTCAGTAGGGGTTGTTCAGACTGGGGGAAAGAGGAATGTAAATGTCTCAGTCAAATTGTGTGTTGTACATGTGTGCATGCTTCTCTGTACATTGACACAAGCACGTATAAGTCACTCACGCAAAATACATACACATATGCATTTACTTACACGCAGAGATAAGTGCATTTGTAAACATTTAAAATTTTGACCGGCGTCAGAGTATTATTAACGCACTATGCCAGCATTACAAATTACGCCCTCTTCTCCTCATCTAACAAGTTTTGATAAGGTTACACAAGAAGATTATTTGAATGATTACAACGTCAACTGGCACACGCTAGACATCTCCTTTTTTTATAGGAATTTTAGCGCCCTAGGTGATCGCCTTGTTTTTCGAGTACATAGCGCCGGCCCAGTAATAGTTTTGTTTGTGTACCATGAAAGAATGTGAAAATAAATATAAAAAAAAAAAAATACAACTGATTCTTAAAAGCAATGAAAAGATAGAAAAGCTAATTTTTAAAGTGGTTCAACTATTTTAAACTATTTTAATCTGCCCAAATTTTTAAAATGTTTCTAGAAGTACAAAAATAATATAAAGAAAAAAAAAGCGTCTCTCTGATACAATTCCTACCAATTTGTCAGAAATGAACTTAAGTATGAGATTTCACAGTAATTTCTTTAAGGCATTTCATTTAAAAAGTAAGTTAATTGATTAAAGTGTTCAGCTGTGGAAGACGTCTAAAGATGTCTAAGTTGCTAATTTTCGGTGTTAAATTATTAAATAACATTTTCTCCGGTTTAAATTTTAGTTCCTCTGTAGATTACATATAGCCTGATTTCCACACAGAGAAAGAACAATTACTTTCGCCATTTCAAAGCATTTTATAAATAACTTTAATCATTTAAAATATTCTTGAAAAATAATGATTTTCTTTTGTTCGATGTTGTGCAATATTATAATTTGCCACCTACAATTTTCAAACATTTAAACGCAACACCAATCGTCATTTTCTGTCTTCTTGAAATCTGTTCTGTTATTGTCCTTTCTCCTCACTAAAGTCTCTTCATTCGCTTTCACTATCAGTAACTCCCCCCCCACACACACATACACTTTGAGTTTTAGTGGCATTATCATCTTGCTTAGGGTGAAATGATTAAAAAAATGTGATTTAAGCTTCTTAATTTGGCAGTGAATTAAGAGGAAAGTTCGTCAGAACAATTACCATTAAAGTATGTATAGAAAAGACACAGGGAAGCTACGTTACGGCGGTGAGAAAGTACCTGAAGCCGAGATGTCAGGTCAGGAACAATAACATTGCAAATTCTTCTTTGGATTTTATCAAGATATATAGCAGGAGCACCAGACCAGATTTGGAAGCAATATCCAAAGCAAAGACGAATTATAGATTTATAAATATGTAAGATAGAATCTGGCAAGAAAAATAACCTGTGTTAAATTCTCCAATTTTTTTCCACATTATGTGTCCCAGACATTTCAGCTGTCTCTTTGAACTTACGTATAAGCATCCTTTTAGGTCTCATTTTCTTTTAATAATTATTCATAGGTTCAGTTTATGGTATTCTTAGCATCCATCTTAACATCCTCTTCTCCCAGCTATGAGTTAATTAGTAGGACTTTTATCACCAAAACATTATTGTCTTCAAAAATTGTTACAATCTAAAATATATAATCTGGCTTTAAATAACCTGCAAAAGGTTGATAAGCCGTAAAAAACAAACCAGTCAATCTTCACCTTTTCGGCCTGAATTGGAATTTCGGCCCAAATCGAACTTTCCGCCCCAAATTGGTCTTTTGGTCGGAATTGAGCTTATAGCCCAAATCAGGACTAAAGTGAGCTTTAGAAATCGCATGGTGTGTTTGTGAATTATTTCTTCAAAATTACCATTGCTGTTTGCTAAAGCTGGACCAGAGGATCCTTTAGTTTTGGGCCAGAGGCTTAATTAGTCCCTCCGCAGGAGCTTGCTTAAAGGCCGCACGGAGGGCGGCTTTTAAGCTAGTTATCAATAAAATAAATCAATTAAGAATGAATGCAATTGCGAGAGAACAATTAGCTCCCATCTTTCCCAGTTTCTTCAATTCCCCTTAATTTGGATGGTTAACAATCAAACACCCTTCCTCTTAGACTGCTTTGTGGAGTGGGGGATATGTTCTACTGACAAGACGAAGGGAAGGATGAGGTTCAAATGGCTCCTCTTGCAGACTCGATGGAGAATGTTAAAATGTTCCAAAATTTTAAATAAAAATATGGGATTTGTAGAAACGAAGCAAAGTTTTCCAAATGTCCCGAGCTTAATACTAAGCTTTACATAAAAAGCATTTCGCACAATGTTTTATTCAACAATGGTGAAATCAAGGCTCCAGACTAACTTTTTTCACCATCGTCCTGAAACTGTCCCGGAAAAAAAAAAGATTATAATTTATAGTTGTCAGTAGTATGCTGAAAATACTATGAAAATGTTTAGGAAATAAATATTTATTTTGATCCATTCAATCTTAACATTGTGCAATGGTTGGCCTATATTTTGGGGGCCTTGGACAGATATAGAGGATGGCCCTTTCGCAACCAGCAACAATAGATTTAGGAGTTCTAACTGCCAAAATGTAGGCTATGATCCTGGCGAGTTCAATGAGCCCATACAGTTGGGGGTTGGGCACAGAAAACCCCCAAGAACATTTTGGAATCTGACCAATTACAGAGGAATTTTAAGGCTATATGAAATGGGTAGAAGAGCATTTTCTAAAATCAGCTTTAGATACTCCAACCCGTTGGTTTATGATTCTATCACTAGAATGGTTTTATTTTAATAACAAACATTTAAAAAAAACATGGATTTTGTCTAAAAATTCACCCATTAAATAAAGTTACTTCAGGGGCCTCACTGGGATTAGTGGCCCTGAATCTTAAGCTTCATTTGTTTCGTAGTAGATCCGATGCTGACATTGTGGCCTCGGTGCCCTGCAGCCATTATTTGGTCATTGCTTTCCTTGAGGTCGTATTGTAAAGGAGGGGGGGGCTGAGATCAAAATGAATGTCAAGATAGGATCTCATAACTTGATCACAGGTTCAAACCGCAACAGTAAGCTAAATTATCTATATTTTCTAGATGCCGCTCCATATTTTTAAAAATGTTTTAAATTTGTCAACAAAATGGACATAAAAATAAAGGGAAAATATTTTTTTAACTAATACTCCTCCATACAAATAAAAGTTTTTGCGACATGATTTAAGCAAAAAATTATTCAATGATTTAATAGATCATTGGGGACATTTCCCTAACGCTCGCGAGGTGACGTTGTATAAAAGAAAAGGACTCTCCCTATTCAACCA